GAGTGAATGCCAGACTAAAGTTCACATCTCATGGTTCAACACTTGAAATCGACGATTAGCTTGCTGAGTTCCTGGATCATCACCCACACAGCCTGACCAGCACAGAGTGCAAGTACTAGAGAGCACAGATACATGATGGAACATTCACTGAAATACCTGTTATGATCTTTCAACGTGTATTTATGCTTCCTGTTTAACATCATGCATCCTGGGCCCTGAACACGACAGCCCATTTTTGCCAGCACCATGAAAGGCCGAGATCAAGACTTTCATGATCGCAGGCTGCTCATACAAATGTTTCATTCAAATTACACAAATAGAGCCAGCCAACGTCGAAATGGGTGCTAAGACACAGTGTAAGAGATGCACCTCTTTTTCATTGATTCTCAGATTCCATCAAATGGGGCGCACACAGCATTAATAATAATAATAATCACACACAATAAGTTAATAGTTACTCTATAATAACAAATTAAAATAAAATTAACAACACACACACACACACACACACACACACACACACACACACACACAAAGAAGCAAAAATTACATGTTGTGTCAGCAAGAGAAACATCTCTGCACTGCACCAACATGTCTCAGTGACGAAGAAACTGCACACAACTACGAAGAAGCTGAATCACGTAACCAAACAGGTCTTATATAATGTTCAGATATCTAAATGTCCGTAACGATCTGGTGCCTGCACTGGCACCAGTCCAGACCAGAGGGTTGCACTGCTCAGCTTATACAGACGGCGCGGTTTATCTTTAATGCGTATCAACAGACGCCGTCCACAGCGTCAGAAACAGAACTTGAATACCTGCCATAGAAAGGAAAGCTTTTCAGGTTCAACACAGCGGTTAACAAGTAAATAGCATATTGGTACAGCTATAAGTAATTTCACAGTTGGTGACCAACTACAGACAAGAATATATGTTGTAATGAAAATTTCATTGAAGAAATGCAACATTCTGGATCGTAATTGCGTTTCACGTTAGCAAACAGTTAACGCACAGCTGGTCATAATCAGATCGAGCTGCCTAGACTGCATAATATTTGTTATATGTATCACGACATTTCATATCACGAGTACTGTATTTCAACATTACACTGTCTCAGGTTGTCAGCTGATCATGCGCACTACATTACTTGCATATAATGATGTATATATATATATATATATATATATATATATATATATATATATATATATATATATATATATATATAGCATTAAATTATAGCACAATCTCACATAGTAATAATCAATAGGATTAAACCCACGATCTATGTGACTTAGTGGCCCAGGAGGCACGTTCCCTCGGTCACACAAGATCGTGGGTTTGAGTCCTGTGTGAGGTTGATTATATGTAGAAGTTTGTGCTTTTTGTATAATGAAATATATATATATATATATATATATATATATATATATATATATATATATATATATATATATATATATACATATATATATATATATTTATATAGCATATTTATATTTATACGCATGCCTGATATCTTTAACAAAATGTAAAATTAGTTTTATCTACTAAGTTTCTTTTCACTATGAAACAGAGGGCAGCCCCACACAGCTCACAGAGCAGTGGGCACTGCATTCTGCTGTATCACGTTTGCTGGAGCCTGGGCCAGCTGCACAGAATCAGCCACCTTTGTGGGGGAGCCTGCACACAGAGTCTGGAGTAGGCAGATGACTTCATGCACACTGCATGATCTAGCCTTCATGTTCATCGAAGGTGCTGACTATTCATGAACACTAAAAGCAGGTAATTAACAAGGTGTTATTTAGGGAGGCATCACCACTATCTGGGGAACACTGTTAAGGCGGCAGCTCAACAGCCCCACACTGGGAGGTATCACAAACACTCAGTTTAAGGTGTTCGCTGCTACATAGAGGCATCACCACTCAGGGAACACCATCACTACACTAGAATATCAGTTTACAGGTGTTCAACAGCAGTTACCGGGAGGTATCATTAGGGAACACAAGCATATGAACAAGGTTATCACACTAGAACACCAGGTGCTACACTGCATCAACACTACATCACTTTCAGGGAACATCACCATCATCAATTTCTAATTATTTTATGAAGAAAGTGAAGGAAAGTGCATAACATAATGTTTAAATAACCGAAAATCATTTAGCGCAGGGACATAGCATCTGCCGAGCGGGGAAAATGTGACTGCCTGTAATACGTCAGATAAAAATCATATATAACATTAAGAACAATGTTGTAGAGGAGTGATTTCAAAACAGTTCATCTCTTCCTGCCATCTGCCGTTCAACTGCACTCTTTGAATTTGTCAGCATCGTCACTAAAATGCACGACACTGGCAATTGTGAAACAGCATTTGAATTATGGCAATGGCAATCGATAATTCTGTTAATGAATTGAATTTCTGTGAAATTGAATGAAATTTCATAAAGTTCAATTTGACATTGCGCATTGAATGTACGATGGTAGCCATTTTTCCAGGTCTATGTGTTCGATTGGTCGCTCCAGCAATAATTATTGTCAATATTTAGTAGTTTTACTGGTTAGTTTATCGATTATATATAGGATTTATTTTTTACAGGCAGTGTACTAACACCAAAACAAAGTGCTGTTAATTACACTACTGTAAAGAAAATGGAGTCACCATGTAATCTATTATGCGCACTGGTACAGTGTTAGGCTGGCAGGTAAAAATACTGCATAACCCTAAGTAATTTGACAACAAACCTAAACACCAGTTAGTGGGAATTGTGTGGAACATTTACCTGTCCTGGGCGGTGTCAACACATGGGCCTGGAAAATCACTGGCTACACCACCATGTTACCTCGTACATTCCAATGCACAATATCTAAATTGAACTATGGAATTTCATTCAATTTCCTTTTAAATTCAATTCGATTAACAAATTATCGGTTATATGTGCATTGCCGTAATTCAAATGCCTTACAACTTACAATTGCCAGTGTCATTTCATTTTTAGTGACGTGTTAGTTCACTTCCATTCTGGTGGAAGTCATTTATACCTGCGATTGTGTAACCTCGCCTTATGTGCAATGATAAATTCAACTGTACCTTCAAATCCAAAATGTAATATATTTCCCAACTGTTGAGTGCAGTTGGACCTTCCAGGAACTCTGAAGTAGTAATTCTCTTCATTACAGTTACTTATATCAAAGGACATTAGACTTCCTCGGCCTCTCTCTCTAGCTGACAGATAATACTTTTGTTCCAATCCTTGTTGCTACTAGATCCTGTAGAAAGGATAAAAGTTTATGTATGTGCAGCCATGAATCAATCATCAAACAGGAAATTAACACCATAGGTAGAAATTTAATGAAATCTGAATCTAACAACATTTAAATCACTCCTCTACAACATTTGTTCTTAAGTAATTATATATGATTTTTATCTGGCGGCTGACACCCAGGCGGGTCACATTTTCCCCGCTCAGCAGATCACTATGTCCACCATTTTGCGCTAAACGTTGATTTTCCGGTTATTTAGGTAATAAACATTATATTTATGCACTTTCCTTCACTTTCTTCATAAAAATAATTTACATCATTAGAAATTCCCCTACGATTGATAGTGGTGCGACCTCCCCTGTTGAACAATGCCTTAAGCTGAGAATTGTTCCCCGAAGATAGTGGTGATACCTCCCGGTGTAGCACCTTGTTGAACACCGCCTTAAGCTGATAATTTCCCCTGAAGATAGTGGTGATACCTCCTGTAGCACCTGTTGAATACCGCCTTAAGCTGATAATTGTTCCTGAAGATAGTGGTGATACTCGGTGTAGCACCTTGTTGAACACCGCCTTGCTGATAATTGCCCCTGAAGATAGGTGATACCCCGGTGTAGCACCCTGTTGAACACCGCCTTAAGCTGATAATTGTTCCCTGAAGATAGTGGTGATACCTCCCCGGTGTAGCACCTTGTTGAACACCGCCTTAAGCTGATAATTGTTCCCCTGAAGATAGTGGTGATACCTCCCGGTGTAGCACCTTGTTGAACACCGCCTTAAGCTGATAATTGTTCCCCCTGAAGATAGTGGTGATACCTCCCCGGTGTAGCACCTTGTTGAACACCGCCTTAAGCTGATAATTGTTCCCTGAAGATAGTGGTGATACTCCCCGGTGTAGCACCTTGTTGAACACCGCCTAAGCTGATAATTGTTCCCCCTGAAGATAGTGGTGATACCTCCCCGGTGTAGCACCTTGTTGAACACCGCCTTAAGCTGATAATTGTTCCCCTGAAGATAGTGGTGATACCTCCCCGTGTAGCACCTTGCGATCACCGCCTTGCTGATAATTGTTCCCCTGAAGATAGGGTGGTGATACCGGTGTAGCACCTGTTGTTCACCGCCTTAAGCTGATAATTTCCCCCTGAAGATAGTGGTGATACCTCTATGTAGCACCTTGTTGAACACCGCCTTAAGCTGAGAATTGTTCCCTGAAGATAGTGGTGATACCTCCTATGTAGCCTTCTGAACACCAAGCTGAGAATGTTCTTGAAGATAGTGGTGATATCATGTAGCACCTTGTTGAACACCGCCTTAGCTGAAATTGCCCCTGAAGATAGTGGTGATACCTCCCTATGTAGCACCTTGTTGAACACCGCCTTAAGCTGAGAATTGTTCCCCTGAAGATAGTGGTGATACTCCCGGTGTAGAACCTTGTTACACCGCCCAGCTGAGAAGTGTTCCCGAAGATAGTGGTGATACCTCCCTAAGTAGCACCTTGTTGAACACCGCCTAAGCTGAAAGTGCTCCTTGAAGATAGTGGTGATACCTCCCCTATGTAGCACCTTGTTGAACACCGCCTTAAGCTGAGAATTGTTCCCCATTGAAGATACAAATTGTTATGAAAGTTTGTCCCCGCACAGTACATGGTTCTATTTTCTACTGGTTACCTATACATAGATCGTACCATTTTTACAAACAGTCTTGGCCATGTAAGTCATGTCTTGCCTACTTCTCCAGACTCTGTGTACACGGAGAGATACATGGGCTCCCCACACGTGTACCCAGGTAGCAACTACAAGGGTTACGAAGCTGCCGATGCCACCAAGGTAGCTGGCAACCTGAAGGACAAGATGTTTCTGCTGATTCACGGTACAGCAGATGACAACGTTCACTACCATCACTCCATGATGCTGGCCAAGGCTCTGGTGGATGAGGGAGTTCTCTTCCAGCAGATGGTAATAACTACTGTTTTTTCTTCATAGACAGAACACTTTTATTAGAGCATTAATTACCATTAAGTACAGTGCCCTGTAATACTGTGACTGTTGTTGAGTCTGCCCTCTGTTTCATAGTGAGAAAAGAGAAGCTTAGTGGATAAAACTAGTTTACGTATTTTGTTAAAAGTTGTATCAGATGTGCATTATATAAGTAAATATATATATATATATATATATATATATATATATATATATATATATATATATATATATATATATATATATATATATATATATATAATATATTACACCTAAACAATTACTTAATCAGACTAAACCCACGATCTTATGTGACTGAGAAACGTTACCTCTAGACCACTAAGCCACACATAAGATCGTGGTTTGAGTCCTAGTGTAGGTGGTGTGTCTTTTATGGTAATTAGTATATATATATATATATATATATATATATATATATATATATATATATATATATACACACATCATTATATGCAAGTAAATCACTGTAGGTGCGCATGATTCAAGTATATGCTGATAACCACAAGGATGTAATTATTAATGTTTGGTATAATACAGTACTCAGTGATATGGGAATGTCATTAATTACTGTATAACAAATAGCTATACAGTACAAAATTTCAGCTCGATCTATTGAGTTATGGTAGCTGATTACTGTACGTTAACTGTTTACTGAACTCGTGAAACACCAATTATGATCAAAATGTTGCATTTCTTGTGAAAATTCATATTCTGTCACTACATTACCTTTACATATATACAGTATATTATTCTTGTCACAAGTATGTACACTGTATTATTAGTTTAGTCCACTACCAACTGTAAAAGGTAATTACTTATAGCTGTGTACAGTATACTATATTTTTACTTTTATCCTCTTCGCACTGATCGGCTTGTTAGCCGCTTGTGGGTCGGTCACGACTCTGTTACTCACTGTTGGTAAGTACTGGGTATGTACTGGCTCCTGAATGTATTTGAACCTGCTCCAGTGTTGGTCATGTCTGGTCTTGAAAGAGCTCACACTTGGTGCCATCACAACTCTCTATGGCAGGTTGTTCCAAGAGTTCACAATTTTCTCTCCGAAAAAGTTTGCCCTCACAGTTTTCTGGACTTGTGGCTTCTTCAACCTTGAGCTGTGACCCCTTGTGGGGCGGGCGTCCACCTGCTCCTGGTATGGACACTCGACTGAGTAGTGCCCTTTGAGATGTTGATACACCTCGATTAAAGTCGGCCCTTGCCCGTCTGTAGTATAAGCTAGGCAGTTGCAAGCCCTCTAGTCTCTCTGGATAACTGAGGTGCCGAAGTGCAGGCACCAGTCTTTAGCATATCTCGGGAACCAGCCGGGTGACAGTACTCCAGACAGGGAAGCACCTCATTCTTGAAGATCGTTACGAGGGACGGTTTAGATATCTGAACGACCTTATAAGACCTATTTGTTTAGTTGCATGATTCAGCTTCTTCTCACACTGGCCCGAGAACTTCAGTTCATTGTCAATATACACACCTAGGTCCTTTTCGTATTCGGTCTAGTTTATTAATGCAGTTTCTTCCACGGGAGAATACGCCTCCTTACTGTTGGTGCGACATTTACACACAATTGCAGGGTCTCAATTGTTTCTCTTACTTTGACAACACAACATACATATATCGTTTCTCACTATTGATCTTTTTTAATTTTTTTACTTCTTTATTATTATTATTATTATTATTATTATTATTATTATTATTATTATTATTATTATTAGTGTTATTATTATTATTTTATTTTTAATTTTGTATTTATTATAAATTTTATTTACTATGAACTCATTATTATTATTGTTGTTGTTATTATTATAATTACATTTCGCCCCCCAGGCCCTGATGTAGGTCAATGACCTGTGCTTGGGTGGGCTAATCCCGTAGAAAAAAAAAAGGTGCATCCTCTTACACTTTGTGACAATGAATCTTAGCAGCCATTTCTTCGACCATTCTTGAAGCTGGCAGAGATATTTCTGTAGCTCTTCACAGTCTGTTTGGTTCTTAATTCCCCGAATAATTTGGCATCATCTGCAAACATTTGTATAGAGTGTGTGGCTTCCGGCATGTCATTTATGAAACAAACAACAATGGGCCCAATACACTGCCCTGTGGTACCCCGCATGTCACGGGTACACATGGCGATTTCGTACCAATAATCACCACACACTGCTTGCGATCATAAAGAAAGTCTCTGATCCATACTAGGACACTTCCCCGAGTCCCGTACCTTTCCAGTTAAATTCTCAGCCTTTCATGGGGTGCGCTGGCAAAATCTAGGTATATTTTGTCGATATTGCCGCCCTGTTCCAGAATTTGGGTTCATATATCCCGTACCTTGAGTAATTATGTTAAACAGGAGCATAAAACCGCGTTGGAAGTCCTTAACAAGGTTATTTCGTAGTAGATGTTCCATCATGGCATCTCTTTTATTGCTCTCTAGTACTTTACACTCTGTGCTGGTCAGGCTCGCTGGTCTATAATTATTCGTGGAGTGATGATCGCCCTTCTTGAATATAAGACTCACATAAGCCATTTTTCAATCACTGGGGACCTTTTGCTCATCCAGGCATCTACAGTACAGAACAGGATCTTCAGGGGCTCAGCAAGCTCGTTACACAACTCTCTAGCACCCTGCGATGTACAGCCTCCCACACTTTCACTTGCTACAATCAGCGTTGTCAATCCTCGTTTCCAAGAGTGTTGAACCATGGGAGTATGAACTTGCGTCTGAAGCATTCACTCGTGACGTGAAGTGGGGGACCTGGGGCCGGCGTGAGAGGAGGAAGGGTGAAGAGGGTAGGAGTGGAAGTGGGTTAGAGGAATTGTGTGCCTAGCAAGACTGTGAGCTAATATTTATTCATTCATGCCTTGGGCAACCAGTCACCAGAACAGAACCTCACATAAACCATGTTCACACCACACTCATAATAATACCCGATAATATTCACATTTTCTTTAACGCTTGCTACGATATCTGTGTCGCCTTCGCCTGTCCTATTACAGGGAAAATGGAAATTAATCCGCCGCGCTAGGTATCAGAGGCCATGTAGCACTGCTATGAGGAGGGAGAACGCTACCTCTCCCACCTGAGGCGTAGCAGACGGTCCGACTAATTACCCAAATGTAGCCAAATATAGCCGCAATGAAGTCAAATAATGGTCCTAGTTGAATAAATCGGACTGCCAATCACTTCTCGACTAGTATTTGGTGTCAGAAAGTCACAAAAAATTGGAAAACTTGCTTTAATCTGAGTTAATAGATCGCGTGCTTGTACTGAGGGAGCGAGGAATTACCCAAAAGTACCCAAATGTAGCCGCAATGAAGTCAAATGATGGTCGTACCGTAATTCGGGCTGTGAATCAATTCTCGATTATTATTTGGTGTCATAAAGTAAAAATTGGTAAACTTAATTTAATCTGAGTTGTGTTGTTAGGTTAGGTTAGGTTACATGCATGCACTCGATCTATTAACTCAGATTAAATTAAGTTTACCAATTTTTTGTGACTTCGTGACACCAAATACTAGTCGAGGTTAGGTTAGGTTAGGTTAGGTACATGCACTCGATCTATTAACTCAGATTAAATTAAGTTTACCAATTTTTTGTGACTTTGTGACACCAAATACTAGTCGAGAAGTGATTGGCAGTCCGATTTATTCATCTAGGACCATTATTTGACTTCATTCCGGCTATATTTGGGTAATTAGTCGGACCCCACACATATTCTGTTGATGTATTATGCAGTGAAACTGTATCAGTTCATTTTTGCGCTGTTCCAGGTGTTTGATCGACAGTGGCACCATACCATTGTACGTACCAATCATCGAAGGAGCCCCATTAGTTGTTTAGCCAACTAAGTTGTCTATATTAAACTCAATACTGCTAATTTGCTCCAGAAGTCCACTTAGCAAGTCACTCCCTTTAGTTTGCACCTTCGGAGAACTGAGATCAACAAGTTCTTCATGAACAGTGAAGTCGTCTGTTACACCACGTACGAAAACTAATAACTGAGCTGTAGATGTTACATCAGTCGCTTCGTCAGCAGCTACAGAAAAGTACACAAAGTTATTACCTTTCTCTTTCAGCTGGTCTACTATGTCACTTGATAAATCACGAATTGTGCATTGCACTGCCATGCGATTCAAACTGATGTTTTAAAACTTCTTCACTGCTTTTCTGCAGGTCAACACCTTGCATCAAAGAATTTATTTTCTGTTTTCTCAGTTCACATGTGATGTCTTCGTATACTCTGTGCTTGGATAAACAATGACTTCGCAAATTATACATCTTACAAACGACCACACAACTTTGACATAAAAAAATATTTTCTTTGCACTGTTTTCCACAAAGAAATCGTTATAGGCCCATATTTCTTGAAACTCTGTTTTCGTCCTCAATTTTTCACTTCCGTGATGTATTTTTTTCAGTCGACTTACTCGCCATTGTGAGGGGTGAAAAAATAGTCAATCATGCTCAAATAATGGTAATTGTCTCAACCTAGTGCCAGGGGATATCGTTTCGGCCAATCAATCAACCACTTTAACCGAGTCCCAGCCAAAACTGCTGGAGTTCGCAAGAAAAATTTCATTAAAGTCCCAGATTTCAGTAGGGCAAACTTTGATTGGCCGAAAAACCAGCTGTGAGAAGGGGTATCTCGTTTGTGGGTGAATTACATGACCTCACGTGAGGTGACCCCCACACAATGTACCCACAGAGGGCGATCTCCCTTTACCTGGAGACCTGACAAAATATGACGGTTGAGGATGACCTGATCACGAGATCTGAGGTTGACGAGTTCCACAACAATTTAAATAATAAGTTACTTAATGCACACAGGCAGAACAATACCACACAGAAAACTCAGATTAAACAACAATGACCCGAAATGGATAAATAATTATTTAAAGAATATTATTGGACAAAGGAAGGCTATAGGTAGGAGAATAAATCGTTGTGAAGTTTACCTCCGAGATTATTTTAAAGTACAGTATTGGCCGGTCGGATTAAGACCGAGATAAGAAAAGCAAAGAGGAATAATGAACTGAAGGTAGCAAGGGAAGCGATGTCAAATCCCAAGGGATTCTTTCAAATGTATCAAACTGAAACGAGCAATAATCTGATTAGATATTTTTCAACAGTTTTCACCACCGAAAATTTGAACGTGATATCCGAGGCACCGCCGACGATATACAGAGATAGTGAAGAAAATAGATTAAGCGAGAGAGTAGTGACTAGTAACGATGTCAGTAAGCAAATAGACAAACTAAAGCCTAATACGTCACCAGGTCCTGATGAGATATTTGCCAGAGTATTAAAGGAATGTAAGGAAGAGCTTAGTATGCCCATAGCAAATTTGTTTAACATGTCCTTAAAAATGGGTGTAGTACCAGAATCCTGGAGGATAGTGAATGTAATACCGATTTTCAAGATGGGGGGTTAGTTCACTATCCTCTAACTACCGTCCAATCAGTTTAACATCAATTGCAGGCAAATTACTGGAAGCAATAATTTCAAACTCTATTCGAAATCACCTGGAGAAGCACAAGTTGACCATTGATTCCCAGCATGGCTTCACAAGTGGGCGTTCATGTCTAACTAATATATTAACATTCTTTTCAGCTGTTTTCGAATCATTGGACGACGGGCACGACTATGATGTGATATATCTTGAGTTTAGTAAAGCCATCGAGAGAGTCCCCCACGAAAGACTAATAAGAAAAGTTGGAGGCTCGTGGCATTTGAGGAGATATTCTAAAATGGATTAGTGCGTGGTTACAGGACAGGAAACAGCGAGTCGGCATTAACGGCAGCAAATCCGATTGGAGTCACTAGCGGTGTACTTGGACCATTACTATTATATATATATATATATATATATATATATATATATATATATATATATATATATATATATATATATATATATATATATATATATATATATATAAACGACATAGATATCGGCGTAGACAGAAACATAAGTAAATTTGCTGATTTTACTAAAATAGGGCGAATAATTAAATCTGACGAGGACTCCGCTAAACTACAGGAAGACATAAAAATTTGTTTTGAATGGTCTGAAAAATGGCAGATGAAATTCAATGTGAACAAATGTAAAGTACTTAGTCTAGGAGATGTAAACAGAGAAACCAGATACCAGTTTTGAAAATCTTACAGAGGGATGAAATTGGGCAATGGGGTGATAGAGGGGTTAGAATGGTCACCTTTCTTCGGGATGGGCTGAACCGAGGCATGCTTCCAAGAAGAAGGGAAAGTTTGGGTTTTGAGGCATAGTGCGAAAGAGGCGAGCAAGAAGGGGGGAAGAATTTCAGCACACTCCCCCCATAACACGAGGGGGTATTCCGTCCGGCCCATGCGCCTTACTCACATCCAACCTGGATAACACACCAGCAACCATATGAGTGGAGATTATAGGAGTAAGAGGGGTAGAGTTGGAATCGTCTAAGGTGCAGTTAGAGGAGAATAAAGTGTCAAATAGATTGGCTTTATCAGGGGGAGAGTTGGCTATAGAGTTAGGTCGGAAGAGAGGAGGAAAAGGGGGAGTGCAGAAGTTATTACAGATGCTTTTGATTAAGGACCAAAAGGATTTACTAGAAGAAGAGTTAGTTAGGTCAGCGGTCTTTCTTTTTATAAAATTCCGCTTGGCCCTACGAAGAATAACCTTACAACGATTCCTAGAAGTAATGAAAGATGAGTGAGTAACAGGAGGAGATAGTTTATAACTCGATATGCCCCATGGCCCTATACTTCTCACTGCTTTATAGTTTGGGCATAAAGATCTAGTTGACCTTTTATTAGTTACAGTATAGTACGGCATGTAATATTGTCCCTCTGCTCACCTCTCTACTCTTCCATACAGACATATGCAGATGAGAACCACGGACTGACTGGCGTGAAGGAGCATCTCTACCATACCATGAACAAGTTCCTTGCAGACTGCTATCGCCCTACCATCAAAGAGCTATTCTTCCTTATCAAGAAAAAGAAGAAGGAAATTGAGGAAATCGGTTACCTGTAAATGTGGAGGTGTTGGGTGGTGCAGGACCTTCTGTGGCCTGTTTGTGTTGGCGGAGTTATCATGGTCAGTGGCTCCTGGACACCACAGAGATGACCTCCCCTTTATAATTATTTCATTTGTTCAAGGACAACATTGACTGGTGTGAAGGCAAATGTAAATTAAAACTAACTTTTAACATTTTGAACGGGAAGTTGTCAGTCAGTTATGTTATCAACAACTTTTAATGGGTGAAAGAGATTTTAATTAAAATAGCATCAATGCTGTGCGGTTATTTTGGGTGGAACTTGGAGTACAATGCAGAGACTTCTTATCCACATTATTGGTAATTTGTTGCAGAACGTTGTGCTGGGAGGAGTTACACAACTGTTTCTCTTTTGGCAGACTTTATGAGTGTGGTTTTATTCTCCCAGCGATGACTCATTGTACTGTGAAATGCAGTCAGAAAAAAATAGTGACCAGAATTATTTTTAATGTTGCAGATTGACAGTTTGTGCATATATGTATGTGTAAATTTTAATTTTAATATTGATATGTCATTCATTCTCTTTTGTAGGTGATTAATGGGCATCAATAGATAATACTCATAGTCCAGCATTAATCATGTATTCACACGCAAGCTTGACAATGTCACCTCCTTTTGAGAAGTGTCGCCATTATGGTGGTGAAGTTTACATAGTGTTTCAGGAACACTTCAGCTACATTATACACTTTTCAGGATTTTTTTTTATGATACTGTACTTGTACTGTATCATGATTGTACTTGTTTTTACACTATTTGCATAATATGGGTGCTGACACCAGTGACCCAGTCGCTAAATAATAGGAATAGTTTGACATATTATCATGAAGCACAAGGAACCACATCTAAAATATTAATTTGTTATTTTCAATAAATATCTTTCATTACAGTATATTCCATTTTGCCAGTATTATTACCTCAGCACAATTCTCAGATAGTTATCAAAAATATAAAGACACTGTACAATGTCCTAATTTCAAATGGTGCAATGTTTTTAGCTTCACTCCAGTTATCTTCATGTAAAGCCTTTTGTGTAAGGCTGTTATGAGTTTACTGCCTTTAATGGGGAATGCCCAAAGGAAGGTTTCTGGCACATGAGGACAGGCAACATACAGTAGTGGTCAAAATCCAGCTCTTTTGATGCCTTGCACACTGTCTCATGGACACATCAAAATAATTAATTCTTGTCACCCTGATAACCTTTATTTAACATGAAAATCCCTGTAAAGGATAAATTGTTATAGAAAGTTATTACACATTGTAGCAGTACAATTTACTAATTGATCACATTTTTTTTATTAGTCGTGGCTATGTAGTATAAGAAATGGCCTTTATCATGCACACTCAGGAGCTAGGCCAGGATAATCAGTACATATACTAATTAAGGTATTCATATGATATTTTTTTCTGAATGAATTTAAAAAATCTTGCTATCATTTCTTATATACAATACATTTAAAAAATTATTTATAATTATTCTAATGGGTTTAAAAACCTATAGAGCAGTCAGTCATTAAACTTGGAGAGTGACACATGTCTCTATCAACAAGATTTTGTACTGGCTGCTTTTACACAATCAAATATCTTTTTCAGCGGACATTGTTAATGTAATATTTTAGATAATCTTATTTTTCCCCTATCAGGTTATAAGAAATTAAGTTCTGAGTAGTTGAATTAATTTGTTCAGTGGAAATGTAAAACATTGACTATTTCACTAGGATCACGAAACTTCCTGCAACTGAGAAGAAAACCATATATGTATAAAATATATTATGCATACTGTAGGAACTCGTATGCACAGTTTAGGATGGCACAGAGGCAGGCATTAGTAGTTCAGGTACTGTCGACGAGTAGTAAACATACAGTGGCTCTAGGCAAGCTACTACCTCTCCACCACCAAGCGTGACATCATTGTATACAATATCTTCATTCACATCTTCGAAAGCAATTTGGCTAACAATATCATTAATAATATTTAATTTAAACACACTGATTGGTTTATTAAATACCCTTAGTTTGCATTCATTATCAATTGAGGCAAGAATTTAGGCTTAAGTTCAGTGGGCAGAAATCATTTAAACTTTGACTGCACTGTATGTATGGCTTCCTAAACACTATACACTGTACCTCTCATATGTCATGTGTGTCTGCCTGCCTCTACTTCCTCATGCCCACATACCCCTATTTTACACTATGCAATGTGCCAGTGCTGTGCTCTGTGGCAACTGACCCCTGTGGTAACTGTTTGCTGTGGCAGTTACTGTGATGACTATCTGCTATGGTGACTGTCTGCTGTGGCAATTGTCTATGATGATGAATGTGTGCTATGGTGGGCGTGTGTATGCCCACACATAGCTCACTAACACACACAAGCTGGGGTCACTGTATCAGTCAACTATTGAGTGTTTTTCTTGAAAGCCTTTCAAGCTTATATAGCAAGATAATATCAAACTTTATTCTGATATACAGCATTATGTATTTTGTTGTTATTTAGAGATTTACAGTACATGCTCACAACATATGTTAACTGTTATACCTTATATGAGAGATATTAAAGAAAGCTCCTACAGATGATATATAAAGCGTCTATATTTTGGTTTGGTGGTGTCCGGTTGTAATGTTATATACATTCCATAGTTTCAGATGTGCTATCGTTTTGAGTAACTATTCTTTTTCACAGATTTTATTTTTTAAATGTGATGTAAGATAGTCCTTCACTGCACAACTGTATTATTTTAGATGTTGTTGATATCATGAAATATTTACACACCTCAGTAATGGTTGAGAAGTTCCAGCACTGGGCAAGGCGCACCTTGACGGTGTTTTTATTATCCATGTTGGCCCTTGAGTAAGTTTCTGTATCATCCAGGTCTCTTGTTTCCTCCAAATATGTTGCACCAGAAGACTGCTGGATGTTGTAACTCAACTTCTAGCATTTACTGTGCATTGGGACACCTTTAGAGTTGGTGCATAATAATTATTATCTGTTGTTTCCTGCCTGGTGTGACGGGCGGTACACCACATGACTGGTTCATCATATATGGACCAACGCTGATCAATACCTTAAAGTTATGATTCTACATATCAGTAAGTGAAAGTATTGTACATAACCCTCTTGACTTGAGAGGATTGCACCCTTTGACTCTTTGTTTTATATTCCAGGTCTTTATCATTTAATATTTCTTCGACAATCATATCATAAGTAAAGTTAGGTGACTATTAATATACACATTACTCTGTAGCTTTAGATATTGATTTAGCACAATTGATTACTCATCTTGCTTATTTATCATAATTTTCAAATCCGAATAGGTGTTGTAAGGTATATAATTCCTGTATAAGTACAGTAAACAGTTTTGAAAGACTTAACATTTACAGTCCCTTCTTTTATGTACTTCTGGAAGTTTCCTTTGCTATCTTATTGATAGGGAGACCTTGTGCATGATGTAACAGAAGAAATGTAATACAGTACAATATGCAGTATACTATATATATATATATATATATATATATATATATATATATATATATATATATATATATATATATATATATATATTATATATATATATATATATATATATATATATATATATATATATATATATATATATATATATATACATATATATATATATATATATATATATATATATATATATATATATATATATATATATATATATATATATATATATATATATAATATATATATATATATATATATATATATATATATATATATATATATATATATATATATATATATATATATATATATATATATATATATATATATATATATATATATATATATATATATATATATATATACTGTATATATATACATAATATGGTACAGTCTCGTTCAAGATTCTTCGAACACTGCTGGAGAACAGCTGGCAACTCAAGGCCATTTTTTTTACTATAGTATGTAGTAAAAATTGTGAATGAATGTAGAATTTGATCGGTGATTGGTTACTTAGTTCCCCATTGCTTAATTAATGGTTGGGCTTTGTTGTTTCGTATTATATTATACTACGTATTGTAGTAAACAAACGGCCTCGAGTTGCCAGCTGTCTCCAGCCGTGTTCGAAGAATCTTGAACGAGACTGTACTTAGCCAGTCATCCCTGTTTAGCACATGCATGAGACACTTGTTAATCCATACTCAAGCGTACCCTCGACTTTAGGACAACTACACACCTCTGGTTACTAAATAAAGAATTCCCTTATTTTGTACCAACTTCTTTATTAACTCAACTGTTTTTAGCAAACTTTCAGCAGTCTTAGCCGAGTTCCTCCTCACCCCATGTTCATTGTTGTGCTTACTGGCACAGCATGTTTAGTACAAAAATTATTTAAAGTAAGTCAGGATTTTACGTTTTGCATTAATTCAAAATCTAAACTGGAAGTTACTCAGATTTTATGAATCAAACAAATTTATGTACAATGTTTGATCAAGTGTTCTTCACAAGTTCCTCTTTACCTTCACTGTGATCAGGTCCCACTCTTGTAAATCTGAGCGTTAGCTTCCTCAAAGACCAACGTACTAACTTCACCCTGTGCACAAGTAAATACTCTCTTCTGTCCACTTCATATTGAACCACATACGTACATTTTTTTTATTTGAAATGTTCACAACTTTGCTTATTCTGTTTTCTCCCATTACTCTCCTCATGAGCCCACTGCAATCACTACTTGAAATTTCTTGCCTAATAATGAAGTTGTATCCTTTTTGACTCCTTCAACCTTTTCCCTGGAAAATCAAATGTCAACTATTGTAAAATGTTTCATTGTAATTATGAAGTTTAGTACAGTTCTGTATATTAATTTGAGGAAAGCAGTTGATTGATGCAAAAAACAGTGTCATAAGAACTGCAAGGACAGTACTGTAGTGTCAGGTAATAACCTTGGCGGCCAGGAAGTTGATATGATGATCTACACCAAGAAGCTCTTGGTGTGGTCCTGTCACCCTCACTGAGTCTGCTCTGAGTACTGTACCATTATACCACAGCCGAGATTTGAGTAACACTTTAATGTTTAGCTTTGGAGTAAAAAGCAAGTTACTGTTAAAACATGTGTTTGGGTTTTTATACATATTGTATATGTAATTCAGTGTTATGATGCACTGTACTGGCATTATATTACTGTATATATTTAACAGTTCATTAATGTTAATGATTATATTTGTGACTCTGATTTGATGTATTCCACTAACACCAGCAGGTGTCCTTAATTACCATATCTTTATATTTTCACCTATGATAAGCAGTGTTTATGGTATGAGAGAATAATTACTCACTTCTTTCAATACTGTTATGGTCCATAAGCGACAGGCATCTTGAACTCAGCTCCATACACACTTGGCCGTCCTAATGAGTGTCAGGCATAAATGTTTTAAAGTTATATTCGTATACAATTTCTATACTGTACTAGATTAACTTTAATGGTACAACATTTGCTTGTCTACTAATGTATAGTCGAGCTTTATGGAAGTGGCTGACTTTACTGAATCATATTTACCAGACAGTGTACATCACACCTCTCCATCAACATTTTCATTGTGTCGGTACCACAACAACTTGGCCACTTACCAACTAATTTTTGTAACAAGGTAGGCCTTGTTAATTAGCTTATTTAGTGACTATACAGTATCAGAATGTCGAACAGTGTAAAGTAAAGTAAAGTAAGCTATTTTAGTCCTTGTTACACTAAAGGAGCCATGCCAGGGACTTGGGTGCCAACAGTCTAGTGTCAAAAGTTTTATCAACATATTTATAGACTGTACAGTAATATAGTGTACTATATAGCTCCCTACTGTACATCTACTGGTGAAAGATACTGCCAGGGACCTGTTGGTGTTGAACTAAATGACCAAAAGCAAGGTAGAATATTTTTATTTTAGACCTTTTGTGATATAAGTTCCCACACCGTCATTTTAACTTTAATAACATGAACTTACTGCATACTATAGTTTGGTGAAGTAATTATATGATACAGAAGATCAACACTGAATTATGGATACCTTGCATTATTTGAAGCCCGTTGAACGTATTGTTAACCTTGTTGAATATTACACATACAACAGTTGAATTTTGTCGTTGGTGATGTTTTTCCTTGCCGTAGTTGGCGTTCATCTTCTAGGTAACCATATGTAGCGTTCCTACCAACTAGAGTTAGCCATTTCATCATTTATCTAAGTACAGTATAGTAACAACTTCTGAGAGGGTCTGAACTTTGATATTTTACTTTATAGGGTTTTTATAGCCCATGTCATTCTAACTTATAATACCCTCCATTTAAATTTCACAGTTAGTCAAGTCATTCATTCATCTTGTGTAACGCTTCTATATAGGTTCTCGTAGTAGGTTTATTTTAAGGATTTGAATACCATACAACCATAAAATAAACATTTAACATTAATTGACCATTGTTCATACAGTAATGCTGTCCACTCTCCCAATCAGTATGTCAAAGTGTTAGTCCTGGCACCATGGGTACATCAACAACTGGACCCGGGAGTCTTACCTCCACCCAACTGTATGACCTAATATAAGGGAACCTACAGCATCAGCAGCTAAAGCTCAGAAGGATTCATATAGCTTATCTGTAAGTGAATCAACTTGATGTTTAATGACATTTACTGTACCCGCTAGGATCCTCTCACCACAATGAAAAACGGTCTTAACTAGCTGCAGCCTCGTTAGAAGAGTTCTTGTTACTCATCTGTTATTTTTAGTAATTATCTTCAGATCAGTTATCATTTATGACAGTAGGGAATGTCTCATGTTTCCATGAGCAGCAAGTGAGTGAGTGTCGAAGGAGTTGTTTTACTAAGATGGGTCTTACTCCACTCTTTCATACTTCCATGTAATTGTTTGTTGCAAAAGGTTTTTATTCACTAAAGTGTCATATTTATTTCAGGAAGATGATCATGTATTAGGTATACAGTATACAGTACACTTACTATGTCGATTTCATTTGCAATTCCATTTCATACGTTTTTTTATTATTTTTCAAACAAAATTTAAAATGCCTTCAGGTTATCCCAGTAGTTGTCATCGTCACGCTGTGAGTTTTATTTTTACTATTTTATTTTTACACCGTGTTGTTCATTGGTGGAGCAGCCCATCACAGGTGAATGGTCATGAAGTCAATTCTCAACCAGAGTGAAGGATTGGTTTCTTCCTTGTGCATCAGTCCTTGTGTACTTTACACTAGAATGAGCACTTAATCGGGTGATATTGCCAATGATGGAACATCACCTTTGATGTCCTAACATCCTGTGAAGGGAACCAACTAGTAACTGATTGTGAAGAATCAGAAGATCAACACTTGTCTAAGCACTCTGCTTCAACGCAGAAAGAGGCTTGTTTGCATAAAAAAACGGGGGCAACCTATGTCCAGATACACAATGGTTTGAAGATTATTTTTTCCTTGAACACAGGTGCACAAATTTTGAAAAAGAGCGTTGCACATTACCTCAAATTAATGGAACTTAAGAGGCAGTAGAGTATTTTGTGTACAGGTTTGGAGGATTCCACTTGGTATTTACACAAAGTACACTACAAAGTTGATGGCGAGAAAGTTGTATAGTAACTCGTGATGTTCTTTATCCACAGAAGGTAAAAAGTTTGTATTTCTCATTTAGAATCCAGACTTGTTGTGACTCCCTCTTCCCTCACTCCAAGCTGTTGTGAGGCCGTTATAACAGTATATTATAATGTGTAGGAAATATTTGGTATTAGCCAAATCTTAAATAATTGCTGTAATGTTATTGAAAATTAATTCTTCATGCAAAATAAGTGAAATACAGTATATAAAAATGTATTAACAAGTACTTTATTTGTTTATTACAATTCTCAAAAAACTGTCAACTCAAAACTGTCATCATCATCATCATCGTTCAACAAACACTTCTTCCTTCCACTAATTCTGGTTCTCTTGACCTAAATTACATCCTTGTCATGTAGTCTCTCTTCTCCAACCATCAATTCTTTTGTTTTCTCTCCATAAGTTTGCATCTCCTTCACCTTATTATTATTGTTATAACATTAACAATTATTACTATCCGCCCATCCCATAGAGCCGCCCCTGGCCATCCTTGTCGCTCCCTCGACCACATTGGTCTTCACTGCCCATCTTCATTCAATCTTGTTACTCCCTGGGCTTGAAATCTTTGTAAATATTTTGTATATACTATTACTCACGACTGTAACCTTTTTAATAAATTTTAAAGCTGTTTGTCCATGTTTCATTTCTCATGATTGAATTTGTGTTTTCTCTTACAAGGTTTTTCTTAATTTATTGTAGGATAACCAGAACCAATAATACAGGTAGTCTTGTTACTCACTGTCAACAAATACAGACGGCCTTTTCACTGACTATCATCCATTTTTTTTCATCATCATCATCATTACTATTATCAACGTTTTGTGACTTTTTCACATTTGCATAGTCTAGCAGCTCTTTATA